AGGAAATTGGAGAGGGAAGGGGAGAAGCGGGAAATTGGAGAGGGGGGAGAAGAAGGAGAGGAGGGGAGAATAAGGAAATTGGAGAGAGGGGGAGAAGAAGGAAATTGGAGAGAGGGAGGGAGGGGGAGAAGAAGGAAATTGGAGGGGGAGACGGAAATTGGAGGGGGAGAAGGAAATTGACGGGGGCAGGGGGAGAGATTGACATCCATCACACACACACACAATGCACCCCTTGCACACAGAAAAACACACAATGCATTACACACAGACACACATACACAAGCAATGCATCCCTTACACACAGCAACACACAATGCACCCCTTACACACAAACTCAATGCATCCCTACAGACGCACACACTGCATCCCATACATACACAAACTCACCTTGCAGCCCTTACACATAGAAACACAGATTCACACAATGCATTCCTTACACACATCAGGACATCCCCCCCACACACACACTCCACCCCCTGTGAACAAACTCATTGGTGGAACATGAAGGTGGACCCTGGGACCCAGACCTTGAGCTGTGTAAAGGGCCCTCAAAAAAAATGGAGCTGCTTCCCGTTGATCCCAGAACATTGATTTTTGTGACCACAGTTACAAACCGCCTCCAGAGAGCCTGTTCTACACCAGACCAGTGGAGCCAGACGGCAGCTAGAGCCCATCATCTTCCTCATCTGGTTGTAAGTAGGCAATCAAGTATATTATTTGTGGCACTAATCTCTAATTTACCTCACATTAAAGGGACACTATAGTCTCCAGAACCACTACAGCTTAATGTAGTGGTTCTGGTGTCTAGCCTGTCCCTGCAGGCCTTTTAATGTAAACACGGCGGCACTGCAGCACTGGTGTTAGTTAACATGGCAGATCATATGGGTGGGGCATTGTGATGTCACATGGGGGGGTGGCAAACTTTACTTTTAAGTAGGGCGGCAAAAATCCTTGCACTGGCCCTGCAGACACTGCATTCCTGTGGGTGGACTCGGGGGGGGAGGGGCAGCACTTTGGGCGGACTCGGGTGCAGGCCCCGGGGGGCCCAGACCTTGAGCTGTGTCAGGGGCCCCAAAATTTCTGATGGCAGCCCTGCTCCCGTGGACCGTTTAATGCAGTCTAGACCCGCTGAAGAAGGCACAAAGGGAGTTCAGAATCTATTTCCTGTAATCTTCAAGGGTCCTATGGAGAACCCTGAAGAGGACGAAGAGTCAGAGCAGGAGGGAGGGGGACATGAAGGAGTAACTGGATCGGATAGTATAACCACCTGAAGTAAGACACAAAATAAAAAAAGATAAAAAGAAAAAGATGCAGGAAACCTTTAATGAAAGTAGACCACTAGAGGTAAAAGCAGGTCCAAAAGGGTGGGAAGAGTATAAGCAATGGACACCAAGTGAACAACTAGCTTTAATTCAACAGTTGCCTAATGTGGAAAAATCTCCTTTAGCTTTAGTTCAATCCCTGTCCACTATTCAGGCTGCTTACCAATGCACTTGGACAGACCTAAAGAAAATGATTGACTTAAAGGCAGGTCCTGTCCTCACTCGGATCATTGCCCAATACACACATGTCCATGAGGGGAATTTGAGGAAAGGTGGACAAGACCAACCGCCAAAAACAGACCAATGGTTTAGATCTAAAGCAGCCTCAGGAAAATCCTATGTAACTGCCCTTAAAGATTGGGCTAAAGTAAAAACCAAAGAACTGGCCCACAAGCTTAGAGACATTATACAGGAGAAAGATGAGCCTGTTGAAAAATTATTTGTCAGGTTACAAACAGCTTGGGAGTCATTGGGCAATACAGAAATTGAGGTAACCTCCACCCGGATACTGATAAACTGTTTTATGAATGATCTCCATGCCCCCAGGGCCGGCCTTAGGGGTGTGCGAGCTGTGCGGCCGCACAGGGCACCATGGCAGCAGGGGGCGCCCTATGGCTGACACAGCTTGCACACCCCCTGCCCTCTACCAGGGCTTAGCAGCGAAAGAGACTGTAGGAGGCGGAGCCAAGCAGCCGATGGGGCGGAGCCAAGTGGTCGGCGGGGGCGGAGCTAACCGAGGCCTGAATCTGCTGCCTGGTAAGTGAGACCATAGTGCCCCTGCTCCCCCTATAGTACCCCTGTTCCCCATCTATCTCTATAGTGCCCCCCCTACCCCTATAGTAACCCTGTTCCCCATCTATCCCTATAGTGCCCCCCTCTACCCCTATAGTAACCCTGTTCCCCATCTATCCCTATAGTGCCCCCCTCTTCCCCTATAGTACCCCTGTTCCCCATCTATCCCAATAGTGCCACCCTCTTCCCCTATAGTAATCCTGTTCCCCATCTATCTCTATAGTGCCCCCCTCTTCCCCTATAGTAATCCTGTTCCCCATCTATCTCTATAGTGCCCCCCCCTCTACCCCTATAGTAACCCTGTTCCCCATCTATCCCTATAGTGCCCCCCTCTTCCCCTATAGTGCACCCTCTACCCCTATAGTACCCCTGTTCCCTGCAGTAGTGCCCCCTCTACCCCTATAGTACCCCCACCTCTATATATACCTATAGTGCCCCTACCCCATAGTGCCCCCATCTACACCTATAAAGTGCCCCTGCTCCCACTATAGTACCCCTGTTCCCCATCTATCCCTATAGTGCCCCCATCTACACCTATAGTGCCCCTGCTCCCCTTATAGTACCCCTGTTCCCATCTATCCCTACAGTGCCCCTGCTCCCACTATAGTACCCCTGTTCCCCATCTATCCCTATAGTGCCCCATCTGGGCACATAGTACCCTGTTCCCACTCCATCCCTACAGTGCCCCTGCTCCCACTATAGTACCCCACCTCTACCCCTATAGTGCCTCTCAAGTTCTTATGCTACCTGTTCCCCATCTAGTTCCTATAGTGCCCCTCTACCCCTATAGTACCCCTGTTCCCTATAGTGCCCCCTCTACCCCTATAGTACCCCTGTTCCCCATATATACCTATAGTGCCCCCTCTACCCCTATAGTGCCCCCATCTACACCTATAGTGCCCCTGCTCCCCTTATAGTACCCCTGTTCCCATCTATCCCTACAGTGCCCCTGCTCCCCCTATAGTACCCCTGTTCCCCATCTATCCCTATAGTGCCCCCATCTACACCTATAGTACCCCTGTTCCCATCTATCCCTACAGTGCCCCTGCTCCCACTATAGTACCCCTGTTCCCCCTCTACCCCTATAATGCCCCTGCTCCCCCTATAGTACACCTGTTCCCCATCTATCCCTATAGTGCCCCCCTCTACCCCTATAGTGCCCCCTCTACTCCTATAGTGCCCCCTCTACTCCTATAGTACCCATGTTCCCCATCTATCTCTATAGTTCCCCCTATCTACCTCTATAGTGCCCCTGCTCCTCGATCTACCACTATAGCACCCCTGCTCCCCATCTACCCCTATAGTGCTTCCCCATTTACCCCTATAGTGTACCTGATCCCTCCATCTACCCCTATAGTGCCCATGCTCCATATCCATCCCTATTGTGCCCATGCTCCCCCTATATTGCCATTGTTCCCTGTCTACCCTAGTGACACTGCTCCCCTTATCTACTGCTATAGTGCATTGCTCCCACATCTACCCCAGTGCCCCTGCTCCCCCTATCTACTGCTATAGTGAACAAAAATCACACACGGTCAATACACACACACATATCAGACACAGTCAATACACCCATTACAAATATGGCACACAGAGAACACATCACACAATCACGTCTGACACACACATGATAAATGTAGCTGTCTTCCGAGTTCCGGCCAATCAGAACGTTGCCGCGGATTACCACAGGAAAGCTCTGATCACCAGAGATCAGCATGCCCTCCCTCCATGTGTTACGGGCAAATGCAAATATTACAAGTTTTAGAATGAAATGTTGTATTTCTTAAACTGTGTACTTTGTCTTTAAGAGATATTGCAAACTGACAAGGTGTAAGAAATGGAACATATTGTTTCTCATAGATGTTTCTTTAAGCAATAACCTCAGTGCATAATATGTTTGGGCCATTTTGTCCCAGACGAATTACAATAACAATAATGCATAAACAAGCTTCAAGGCTATACTACGACACTTGCAGTACACAATATACTGTGGTAACCCCAAGTTAATGGAACTTCCCCAAATCCGGGAATCTCCAGCGACTGTACACTTACGACTTAGTATAAACAACAGATAACCTATTTAGACTTTAAGATGCCATCTTGAACTAAGTCAGGAAAATTTCCGTGACGTATACACCCTTTAGTTATGGCCTTGTATGTTTGCCAAGTTAAGGGAGGTCCTAAAATGAATAAAGTAAAAGAAGTGGTACTTTTTCACATATGAACTATGGTAACTCTAAAATGACGACACCTAAGGTATAAATAGGTGTACTTTTAAATGTTAAGAGACAGAGGAGAGACTTGGAGACAGACGCTGCTCCATCTTAAAATGACAGAGGCTGACATGATGACATGTTCAGAAGGGTATGTTAACCTATTAATGATATTTGCAAGCATGTAATTTAATCTTATAAACTCTGCTATAATGGATTTTATATAATAAATATCCAAAAAGACAATCTTGCTTCCAAGACAATCCTTATTTTATATTGTATTCTCAATTATTTATATATGTTAAATAGAGGATCTCTTACACTATATAAAATTATGGTTAAGATATCTGTATGGTTAGCCCTACTAAGTTCTATGCTTTAAGACATTATAGTGGTAAATAAAGGAACCACACACGGTTACAATTGGCGACCACGAAGGGACTTTGTACTTGGAAGCTTTAAATATAAAATAAATACCTAGGTAACCTCTTATACGTAAGAGAAGACACAGTACTTTGTCATGGCACAAGTCTTGAAATATCAAGAATCTATTGAGCTATGTGTAGCCCAGACTCAGAGAGAGATCTTCATCATTAGAGATGATTTTAATGTGAACAAAGCACTTCAAAAGTTCAGGTGCCAGGTACAACGTAATTAGCATACAATGCTGAAATTGTGGATCTTAACTAATATCATAATAGAACAAATGCCTAATACACCAGCATAGCATGGCCCGTTAGTTCCAGGACAGTGGATTGCAGACAGGGGGATATGTTCACTTTGTAGCTGCTTAGCATGCATGCGCAGGAAAAAGATTAATGCAAAATGTTGTCAAAAGAAAAGTGATAAGACAGAGCGATGAAATTTGAAGTCTAATTCCAAGAATGCAAAGAAAATTGCATTATGGCTTAATGAAAACATTCATGCAACAGACAGACAGGATTTTTAATTATTGCATTACTGCGTTCTGGATTCTAATGTCCACTATATAAGAAAGGTTTTAGAAAACAGTGATAATTTCCATATTGTCAGTTACGCTAGCTGTTGATAGAAAATCAGGAATTAGAACAGCATAACTATTTTTTCAGTCTGGAATTTCCAGCCAAGGTTGCAGAGATACAGAGACATGTAAACATTCCAAGGAATTGAGAAGTCGTTTTTTTTTATATTCCAAATTATGAACAAATATACAGCCATAAAAGAGAAAAGACATGGCTTTTTAAACAAAATTAGTGTATACAATGCAGCACACATATTTTATATAATATATGCTAGCTAGCTCATATTTT